AGGATGAAATGAAACACTGTAAAACGTCTTACTCACTACCATTGAGCTGATGTCGACTCATCGCACCCCAATGGGAGAGGGTAGAGCTGCCCCTGCTAGTTTCCAAGACGGTTTCTTCTCTCAAGTAGAAAGCCCCATCTGGTCTTTCTCCCAAGGAAGGACTGGTGGTTTCAAACTGCTGATCTTGGGGATTAAAGCCCCATCCGTGACCACTACACCACCAGGGTTCCTTGCAAAAACTTGGTACTGAATAACATTTAATTGAGTGAATGAATAAATGAATGCAGAGAGAATTTATTTTATTTCCAATATAAAGAAAGCCAGGATTTCATGCTAGATCATATTATTTCTTCTCTCTCTTGTTTCCTTTTCCTATCACCCTGAAAGTCTTCCTTCTCTCTTTTTTTTGAACCTTCTTGCTACACACATACGTACGTATTTAATATTTAGACACATAGAACCCAAATGTATGTTTCTCCAGAAGCAGGTACTACTTTCCATTAAAGCTATAAATGCCTAAAAATGTTCAAATCTTTACCATCAAGTCAAAAATCTTTGTCCTTTGCTCTTCAGCCTCTGCTTTCAATATCAGCGTCAGAATTAATCTACTAAGTCTTGGCGTTTCTTTGGTTCAATAGTCTCCCAAATAACAAAGTCCTCACCACCTTGGTGCATTGGGTATCGGGAACCTGTCCACAGTCTATGGGGCAGTGGCCGGTGCCATTGAAACAACACTGCACTTTGTGCTTGTCTTCTAAAGCAGGCATTTATCTTCGGTGTGACTCCTAATCAAAGAATCGATGTTCGGGGTCCCATTTTTCACATGTACTGGTTTGATTTTTGTAAACCTAAGTTTGTTATTTTGGGTCTATGACCATAAATATTTCATGCCATTTCTGCTTTTCCCAAGTATCAATGAGCTCACAACGTCTTACTTACTGTTAGTGTTATCAATGTTGTTGACTACCTTTCCACATATCTCATCAAGATGGTTCGCTGTACTCAGGACTTGTTATTGAACATTTTCCCTAACTAGACATATGGACAGAACCTAGCTGATTAGAGAAATTGAAGCCGCCTGTGTAAATAGATGTATATTTTATCCTCTATGAAATGTTTGCTATCAAGTTGTAATTCTTGACCTATAAAACCCACAATTTTATATGATTCAACTTAATATGCATATTCAAGCACAAGACTTGAAGTTAGGATCTATAAGCTAATTTCTGTCATTGAGTAATCATAGCCATTCACTCTTCCGATATTTCTCTCTGGGCCTCAGTGTCCACCACATCAATGTGAAGCTTTAAATGAGGCAATTTCTCACTTTCCAACCTGTCCTTTTAAAGTCTATATACCTGTCATGAAAATTGTTCAAACTTATTTTTAATAACCTTGCAAAAAATATTGCTTAACATGTTCAGTAGGAAAACATTTGCTTTGGTAAATATATAGTGCTGGAAGATTTTTACATCCGAGGCAGTCTGTATACATTTGGAGTTAAGTTTTAGCTGCTACAGATTTTTGACAAGCAAAAAAAAAAATGCTATTGTGTTTTCAATTAAAGTAACAAGTACATACTAATTCTTTGGAACTCCAATTGATTTTTTGACAACACTATTTGAACTTATATGTGGATTGTTTTTAATATTATGTTACATTGATCATCTCTGAGTGAACAGTTGTGTCTCCAGTAAATTGTCTATCGCAGTAAAACATGATCTCTTATGGTTCTCGCATAGTTTTCATTACACTTAGTGCAAGATCAGAAATTTCAATAACATGATGTGACCCATGCAAAACACAACTAGTGATACTAGAAGTATCCCAAGGACTAGAGAAAATCCATGGTATTTCAAGAAAGTTGAATTGCTTCATATATACTACAGATGGAAGACTGTATCTGTGACTGCCCACCATGTCAAGATAAATGAATACAGCAGAAAGACTATTATTTAGGAAGAAAAGGAAATTAATGACGTTGTTGATGTAGCTACACTAGTTGGCTTGAAAACCTGGCCCTATTCTTAAAATACATGGCTATCTGATATTGAAAATGTAGCTTTTTGTGGGTGCAGTATGTGAGGGGCTCAAGGTGGTCATGAAAATATCCATTATCTCTTAATTCAGTTTTTCCATGATTTTTTGAAGCCTCCATGTATAACATAAAGTTATGTGTGAACCAACTGTCTGTGTTCTTGGTACTTGATTTGGTTATCTGTAGGCTCTTTGTAGTTACATTTTGGGGAATTGGAAAGTTCTGTACACATTTTTGAGTACACAGAACATTGTCCTCCCAACTCGCACACTGTTTAGGTTCAGCTGTTGTACTTGCCTGTTTATTATATTCAAATGTGAACCAACTCCATCTCGTGACTTTGCCAGAGGAAGTTTGCGTGAGGACTAGGCAAAAACCATCACTGGGGATCGTAGCCTCAAAGTCATCCTTGGACTTCTAGTATTTGCAACATACATTCACTCAATCAGTAGTCATATTTGTAGCTACCGAACCCAAAACTCACTCCCATCTGGTTAATTCCAAACCATAGCAACTCCATATTGGATTTCTGAGACTGAAAATCTGTATGGGGGCAGCAAGCCTTATTTTTTCCTGCAGAACTCCTGGTTGCAATCCACCAAGCAACTTCACAGCAGTGCAACGTACCAGACAGCACTCCCCAGGTTCCTGGTTTCCATCTACAGGGCCTCACGTTTCTTCCCTCCCAAGTCCAACATCAAATTGAGGCCTCCTATGTTATCAACATAGCTACTTTTATTCTTCAACATGTTCAACTTTTAAGATATTCTGGCTCTTAAACTGAATCTGAAGAACACTTTCAGATCAATTTCTTAACTAAAACTCTGATACTATTATCCTCAGACATGTTATATGGCTTCATAATATGTATCTGCCAAATTAATTTCAAATGCATTGGTCTATTTTACCATCAATTCTAAGATTTTATCTCCATCTAGCTCTCTAGATTAGCTTTTGTATCTGTGGTTCTTATCATTTATATTTTAAATGAAAAAAATTCAATTAAAGGATGTATCCCCCATGCAAGTTAAATATTACCAGTCACTTCTTTACCAAGAAAAATGCTCTCCTTATGTATTTAATAAAGACATTTCGGTCTCAGAATATACACAGTTGTTGGGTTACCAATGAGATCCTTTTATAAGTTTAGCTTTAAGTTGAATTTGTAAGTAAGTCAGAACAGGCACCTATAGCACTTACTTAGTTTTCCTTCAGTTCAAGCAGGAACCCTGTGGTGTAGTGGGGGTGGTTTTGCTTCAGGCTGCTAACCAAAAAGTCCACAGGATGAAACCACCAGCCACTTCTTGGGTGAAAGTTGAGGATTTCTACTCCTGTAAAGACTTATTGCCTCAGAAACCCACAGGGGGTTTATAACTCTGTCTTATTGAGTCACTGTGAGTCAGAATTGACTCGATGGCAGGGAGTTTTAGTTTTAAGTTTAGTGTAAGATAAGGGAGCTCTGGTAGAACTGTAGGATAAGAGTTGGTCTGCTAACTATGAGATCAATGGTTCAAAACCACAAGTGGCTTCACAGAAGAAATAGGAGGCTGTCTGCTCCCCTAAAGATTTAGTCTCAGAAACCCTACCTAAGGTCACTCTAAGTCAAAACTGGCTTGGTGGCAGGGGTTTGGGTTGTGTTTAATGTACAAAAAGACTCAAATTCTTTTCAATGATTTAAAACTCCATGTGCAACAAGTTAAGGTGAGTCTGACCCTTTGTTGAGAGTAGGACCTAATTCAATTCTTTCAATGTGAGAAAAGATTTCCATAACATTAAAGAGCAAGTACAAGTTGTTCAACTTATGAATATTTCTAACCTAGGGACTGCCGATATGTGTTCTACTTGCTTCTTGAATAAATGTGTTTCAGTACTAGGCTAAACAGTGCTAAAATCCAATTTCAATTCTAATCACAAAACATTGGCTCAGCTATCAGGGTTTACTTCTTTTGAACCACGCTCAAAAACAAATGCCTATCTTTTTGAGCTCAGTAAAAGCCACAATAGTTTCTTTGTTTTCAAGTAAGTGTACTTCCCCATCCATCAGGTGGAAGGACAGGATTAAATACATATCAGGGGAAAAAATAACTCCATTAGTCACAAGAATGGACTCATCAATCAGCTGCTGAGGTCAGACATTTGACAGGTGCCAATGAGCTTGTTCCAATATCACCTTTCCGAAACAAGGGCATAAAAGGAGCTAACCAAGAGGACAACCACACGAAGTGAACTCAGAACTCGAATAGACTTTGTGACACTGCATAAGACAGAGAAATCTGGTGAGCTGAAGAGAAATATTGAACATTCTCATACAACCTGGCACTTAAACTTCATTCAAAGATTTCAGAGCAGAACTTTTTGAAGTCCCTCCTTTTTGGTGAGCGTATCAAGTCTCATTTATAGAAAGATCTGATGGGAACAGATTAAATTGCATCTAACTATCGCTGTACTCCTTTTACAAGTAATCCACAGACTGACGAACCAAAGGAAGTATAGCCTTTTTATGTGCTGCCTCTGGATTCATACATTTATTAAACACCCAGGCAAACTGCGCTACGTGATATCTCTGACAACCCAGGCGTCTCTCCCCCATGTCCTCTACTTCAGCAAGCATTCACGACCCTTCACGATGACTGACAACTTTCTTCACTGAAAGATGCCAAGGTTGAGAGTTCAAAAGTGTGTTTTGTGACTAAGGAGTGTGTATCTTTAAAAAAAAAAAAAACTTTTTTGGCGTATACTTCACATATACAATTTCATCGCTCAGTCACTTTAAGAAGAGTTGTGTAGTCATACCACAATCAACATCAGAACACTTTCTACTTGTACTCTTTTAATCTTCCCATTTCACCCCCTCTTCTCCTCCTTGCCCCTAAGTAATTATTAATCCAGTTACTATCTCTATAGATTTACCAATCCTGGATTTCATACAGAGAAAATCATATACAAAACATAAACAAGGAATGCATGGGTTTGGATTTGTGGCGGGTCTGATCCCATGGGCCTCTCACAGTGTCCCAGGCCAAAGCAAAATGTCACCCCAAACCATTTCCTGGCTTTAACCGGTGGACTTAAGGCATTGCAGCAGGTTGCACAGTGGGGGAAAAAAAAAAAAAAACATAGACAAGGAAGCAAGCAAACACACAAAAAAACCAACAACAATGACTAGCCAAAACATTGAAAAATCCCAATAGAAAAGAAAGCAATAAACATTAAAAACAGAAACTACTTTAAAATAGTGAAAATGGAAACCAACTACCTCTGTCATAAGCTACTTGGTAATGTTCTCTGATAGCTAGGCTATTCACATCCCTAGATTATGTTCAGGGACTTAATCTATGTGTGAAAATGGATTTGGGGTTTCTACTGGAATCCATAGCCTTCGGCAACACAAGGATTTATAATTTAAACTCAGATACCATTCCCTCCTTTGGGTTTGGATCTCATTATTTACAATCCTTGGATCACACAGGGTGGTGTACTGCATCCATGTGAACTTAGTTGACATCTCACTTAGGTGGCTGCTTGTTTGAAGACAAGCCTTTGAGACCATGGATGCTATTCTTTCTGATACCTGGGTACCAGGAGTGGTGTGTTCTTTATTCAAACAACTGGATGACAAATGTTTGTAGTTAGACTCAGCAGGACCAAAGGCATCACTGAAATCCCTTTAAGTAAATGGAAAACCAATTTTAAAAACCTGTGTTTTCATTAAGTGCCATTGGGTCAGTTTCTACTCATAGCAACTTTACACGACAAGGTAGAACTTCTCTCTTGAAAGGTAGACCTTTCAAGAATAGATTGCCAGATCTTTTCTCCCACAGAATTACTGGTAACCAACCATTTAATTACAAGCTGAAAGTTTATGCATTTCACCATTAGAGTTCATTGACATATCCATGCCTAACTAAATTGTTCACAAACTGAAAGTGGCCATAGTTAATCTGAGTTATTCTTTCTTCCTTAGGATCATCATCTCCTTGGGGATACTCTTCTCCTGAGATTCCTGAATGCCAGTCGGTCAGATTGTGGAGTCAGTGCTTAACTCAAACATAAACAGAATTCACACATAACCTGCCCTTGCCTTCCACTGACAATTGTTTGTTCTTAAGAACTACTGAAAAAGAATAAAAGCCTTCTGTCCCACCAAGATCCCACCCACAAACTGTTTAACCATTTGGGCTTTTGTTTCTGCAGAAAACCAAAGATCAAAGCAGCTTCAATGGAGCCATTTCTGAGGCACGCATGTGTTCTATGTGTTGCAGAGTAGTAATGTGCTCCAAAGAGTTTTCAAAGTTTCAACTTTCCAGAGACAGGTCACCACGCTTTTTTCAGAGACATCTCTGAAGGGGTTTTGAACCATCAACTTTTCAGTTTGTAGTTAAGCCCTCAGCCCTATACCACCCAGAAACCCCTCGGTTCAGCAAATGTTAATCCTGTTTTCCAACTCCAGCGAGCTCTCCCCTGGCTGGCACTTCAGACTTGGGTGCTAATTTTAGAAAATGAAGCATTCACACCATTCTATAGACCTAATGCAGATGTCTAAAAGCAGTGTCTTTCTGTCTGCCTAAAAAGCATAGCGCCATGGGAATAAAGAACAAGCTTCGGTGAATAAACACACAGTCACCATCAATTTAACAGAGGCATGCAACTTCCTGAGAGGCAGAGAATAATGGAGGAGTTGTTGCATGATGAGCTATCGAAATCCAGCCGTAGAGGTTCATGTATGGGTGGAAACCAATTAAGCAAAGCACTTAGGAAAATTGCTTTCTACTGTCTGGATGAGAATTTTTCCCGAGACTTGGTTTTTTGAAGTGAAAAGACTCACGTGTAAACCTGCACTAAATGGTGTGTCCAAGGTGAGAGTCCAAAACAGAACCCTTGAAACCAGGCTTCCGGTCTACTCACCGGCCGCTTTGAAAGTTGATCTAAAGAGGTCCTAATGCAAAGTACAACTTTAACAACGAGATGTGATCATAAGAATTGCAGCCAGTGGGTGGCATTTCAAACTCCCTTTGTGTTCTCCAAAGTCTGAGAACAAAGCCAAAGTCAAAGAAACATGACTTGTGTGCTTTGAGGATGTCAAAAGCGCCATGTTAACATGGAGCAAATCAAAGTGTGCAAAACTCTGTGGAGGAAGGGTTAGAGAGACGAAAACACTACCTTCAGAAGCTTATATACCTAGCTAGAAAACATGTCAAAAATAATACTTTTAAGCTCATGATAAATAAATAAACAATAACTGTAATTTCTTTTCTTTGTGATATTTTTGCTTAATGAAGGTTTCTATAATTTTATAGTAATCTATATTTTTTACTTACTCATGTAATTAGTAGGTAGTAAACATAACGTGAAGTCATTAGGTTGTGTAAGTAATTGAGCTTGTCATTACTAACCAAGCGGTTGGTGATACAAACACATTTGGATTTGCGGGGAAGATGGGCCTGCTCATCTGCTTCTGAAAGGCCACAACTTTGAAATGCTACTGTAGAGTTGCCACTATCCACTCAAGGGGTCGCCACGGCTGGAACCCACTAAGAACAACTAGCAATAAGGGACTCATGACATCTGACCTGCTTTTATCCCAGCATTCCATCTGACTGATCAGAGGTGACTTCAGTATGCATTTGCCGGGTTTTTTTTTTTTCATGTTTTTAAAAATCATTTGTTCAAAGTTTTCCAGAGCATTTACTTAAGTACTGTTCATGAGGACTTAAGGCTGAAGGAAGCTGATTGGTATCTTGCAAGGAATTCAGTTTCACTTGCTCACAGATGTTTACATACTATTCTGGATACAAGATGGCAGGTGCTCGAAAAGAGACAATGATAAACTATTAAGGAAAACAAAAAATATGGGGAGGAAAAGACTGAGCATGTAAAAGAAATTTAACTCTGCCAGAATAGGGTTAGAGGTAGACTGGGCATGAGAGAGAATAACTTTCAACGTGGACAAAGGAGAATGGCAAGGAAGAGAATTCTAGGCAAAAACAGTCACTGAGCAAAAGTTCATCTAGCACTTTAATTATCTACATGGTTTCCCTTTTCCTGACATTCATTTCTTACCACAATTCCAACTTCAATCCTTATCAGCTGCTTAGATATCTTTTCTTGACAATCTTGTTTCTTGAACTCTAAGATGTAGATAATAAGAGTATCTTTCTGTAAGGTGACTGAAAATTAAATGGGGTATTTTATGTAAAGAATTTAATGTAAATTTGGGAAATTCGAGTTTTCCAGGTATTATAACTATTTACTCAATGAATACCGAATACGAGTCTTCGCTTAGAAGTTCCACTCACTGAGAAAAACTCATAGTTATTCTGGATAAAGATTATTACCCGCAGTAGTCTCACAATGATATTAAATGGATTAAGTCATTTATTTTTCAGAGAAAGAAGCGTTCAATTAATCCATCATTGCCAAAGAAGAGATGAATCAATCAGTAATGATAGCTGCAGAACGAAGGCCCCTGAGCAGATGGGAATCTGACGGAGAGTATATTTTCATATGGAGAAAAGTCTAAACTGATGCAGTTAAAACAACAACAACAAACCTCTTGGATTGAGAACAATAGAACACTGAAGGGATGTGATCAGGACCCATTTTATTGGCATTAGAGTTCTGCCTGTGACAGCCCTCCATGATCGTGTGGTGGTCATCTACCGGATTAGAACCAGTAACCGGTGGTAGCCAGTTGCGGTGAGGTCAATTCTTCCATAGGATGACCTCACATGGGTCTGAGTGGAATTGTGCTCAGTAGGGTTTTTCAAGGCTACTTTTTCAATAGTAGATCAGCAAACCTTGCTTCAAGGTGCATCTGAACAGCCTTAACTACCCACCTTGGTATTAACCTGCTGAGTTCTTGGTCATCTGCACCACCCAGCACTTTGGATAAAATAATTGGAGCTACAGAAGGTGTGGAGGAAGATACAACTTGCACTGTTACCTGATAGTAACACATTTCACCCCAAAGCCACCCATAGAAATAATCCAGTGGCATATTAAAAGTGGCCATACACCTGTGTGATAGAAAAATGCATATTAGTTGGGAGGACAGTGCATTTAATATTATTGTGAGAGTCTTCTCCACCCAGATGTATGATCTTGTGTAAGGGGTGTGTGTTGGGGAGGGGGTTGCACAAGTTGCATCTAAATAGCATCTAAATATAACCCATAATTGTCATTTGAGGCTCCATGACATAGTTTTAAAAATAATTTAGTCTATTGAATAGCCCATTGAATTGTGACACACAGATGTCCATGCTCTCTAACGAAGTAACAGGAAGTAGAGCAAAATGTTTCTTACTACATCGATGCTCTACAACTTACAGTCTAAGGACAATGTTGGATAGAGTGTTTTTTTTTGTTTTGTTTTGTTTTTTGCTTTTTTAAATTCCAAACGGAATATCCTCTGTATTACATTATACTGGGAAATAAAATGAAGTTTTAAAATAAATAATAGGGCTAGTTCTGCATGGTTTTATTTTATTTAAATCGTTCTGGCAATTTCAGAGTCCTTTTGAGAGATGTCGAGGGAGTTTCTAATTTTCTTTTGTCAGTAGCATAGAATAAGCCTCCACATTTGTATGAAGTAGAAATGATAAAATACTTTTGATAAATACATTTAACCTATATTTAGTAAATAAAAATATCAATAATGACCACAATTAAAAAACATATTTTAATCCATCATCTAAAATAAACAACTTAATAAAAGGAAAATAATACTGCTTCTCATTATAATGTCAAATAATGAGACTGTCACATCTGTACACAAATACTTGTCTGCCAGTAGAGAAGAGTGGTTGACCCCGAGGGTTCTTGTCAGCAGTGGGATTCAAATAATTTAACAACCGGTCCATTGCCCTAGTGACCGTTATAGAAAAAAGATTTACCAAAAGGTAGTTTATTATTTCATACAGTTAGTACTTATATCAATACAATAAAAGAAGTATGCAAAACTAGATTATGTTATAAGGAAGAGTTCTAAAATATTAATGTAAAAATATTAAATATTACCTGACAAAACAATAAAATTGTTATTTAAGAAATTTCCCTACTTCTTGAGTGGCATCCTCAAATGGAATATTCTTCACTTT